TTATGCGCGGTACAGGCGATAATGTTGCATAATCGGTTAAGGACCGAACAATCGGATGTATTTGCATATCGTCGATCTAAGCTCCGCTCCGTGGTGGTTCGTAAGTAAATTCTTCTCGTTCTCGAGTTAGGATTTACATGACAATATCGATGTACATGTATATATATATATATGTATATGTTTGATTCCATTAGCGATTCTTCCGTTCTTTCGATCGCTGCGCGTTACGATATAGGTGTACGATAAAGCGCTTACTTGTTGGAGCGAGAGTTGCGGCAACGCGCTGAATCATTAATTGCGCGCCAATCAGAGATAGGGTACGTTATAGTAATAATTCGATCTCTCGATCTGCAGAAAGAAATCGCTAATTAGAAATCGCTACGCGCCTCTTGTGTGACTCGTAATTCATTCTGTAAATATTAAAACGTTTCGTTGTAACGTCCCCTTCTCGTTCAACTGTTTTCGTTTTTTTTTTTAACGCAGGTATATTGATATCGAGATGTGTCTTTTATAATAAATTATTCGCGTTACCGCAACGCGACCTGAAACTACATATCGACCCTTCGGCGACGCATCACCGGTCCATTCCGCGCCGCCCTTATTCGCTCCCTCTCTCTCTCTCTCTGCTCCCGTCTTCTCCCCTTTCCTTCCCCCGGTATCGGATGACAGCGGTTAAGGGCTGAATATTCGCGAGGTATCGATCGCGTGCCGAGGTCGCGTTACCATCGTCATCGTCATCGTCGATCGTCCCGTGGATTTCCGGTTTCGAACCGGGGAGAATCCCGCCTTGCGATCCCACCGATTCTCGGCGTCGTTCCTTCGAGTTTCGGGGAAACGACTCGCGCGCCATCGTTGATTGTCAGGAGGACCCGGATATAAGAGGCCCTCCTCCTTCCTTCTCCTCCTTCCTCGTCTAACCGATATTCTCTATTCCGAGTCCAACGACACGGTCGTTGCGCCGGGCACCTACGTGCTCTCTTCTACGGGGTCCTTGACTTCTCTCTAGACTGTGTACGAACACGCCGGTCGCCGCCGTTCGCGACATTTGCCGCGCCGATATACGGGGATAAAACGAGTAGTAGCGGCAGTTGTGGGCCGCGGATCGGAGCAACCTTGTCGTCGGAGCAACGCACCGGCGGCGGCGAGGATCGCTATCGCGGAAGACACGCGCTCACACATTCTTATTTATATTCTCACTTCTCGACGGAGAGAGAGAAAGAGAAAGAGAGAGAGAGAGAGAGGGACGCGTTTGAGTCACAGAATCCTGATATAACGCGCGATATACGGCGCGCGCGACGATCAGCTCTATTCGCGTCTAAACGACAAACTACCGATGACGATTTTGCGTCGTCTTTTGCGAAGTTTCGCATTAATAATTTATTTTCTTTAATTTTTCTCTTAATTGTCAATTAAAATCGTTGAATCGATCAGAGAGCCGAGTGGTGGTTTTTGCTCTCGCTCTCACGCGGTGTGACGCTAAACGCACGTCGGTTTTGTTAACAAGTCACTATCAGTTGCCACGCTACGTCACGATGACTTGCGAATCCGTGCGATTATTTAATGCAATCATGAGCAAAATGCCGCCACATGTTGCAATGATTTCATTTGCTCGTTAATGATCTGGATAATGTCGAGCGGCGGACAGTAGATAAATCTGGACGCGGATGGACGTAATTGAAGCGCTAACGAGAGCCGGTATTCACCGGCGTTATTGAAATCTCTATCCGATCGGGGCGCGTATAGTACGAGCGAGCAAAAAACCCTATTTGTACGATGAAAAACTACGACGAAGATAGAAAAATCAAAGCGAAGTCATTTTGCAACACATGTAAAAAAATTTCCACTTTCAACATTCTTCGTTCCGCGCGATGGAAGAATCGAAGAATTTGCGTAAAATTCTCGTGCTCAGCATTAATCCTCGGGATCAATTTTCGAGAAACTCGCGCGACGACCGCGGTTGCGATCTCGATGCGATGCGAGATACGCGAGCGCGCATATCTGCGCGGCGTATCTTCGCGCTTCCGAACCAGTCCCAGACGACCTTAATACGCGTAGACGATGTCCTCGCGGTATCCTTGAATTGTTCCGATATGCAGCCGAGAGAGAAAGAGAGAGACAGAGAGAGAAAGAGACTTCTCCTCCCTCTCTCGGCCCGACAATGTTCGCCGCGCACGTGTTGTACACCGGCGACCCCCAAAACTTCTCTTTTTCTCTTGCCGTCGTCGTATCAGCGTTGGAAGTTGAGTCCGCGATGTGCGCACAAGTCGGTCGCGACCGACCGCCATCCTTGGCCCAACTTTATCTTCGACTTTGACCTGCAGCTCGCTGCGCCGTCGACGTTGTCGCACATCCGCGCAATTACGTAGAATTAATTGGCTCAACGTTTAATCCCCACTAAAGAGACCGGGTCCTTTCCCGGCTGCGCCGTGCGATACCACCAGGTAACCTGTTGTTTGCCGTTTCGGTGTTTACCGCGGTTTCACGCTGAACTCGGCTGCTTGCGCTGCAAGTTGAAATACTTAGCGGAGCGCGAGATCCGAAGGTCGGATTGAATTAAATTTAACCGGGGGTGATTGTGCAAGTTAATGGTTCGACGATAAACTCACGGCGAGCAGTCGTAATTTCGAACTAATTATCACCGAAACTGCGCAAAACTTTTACCTGAGCGTTACTTGAGCGATTTAATTAATTTAATTAATTAATTAATTATTACGCGAAATATATACTTGAGTGTAAAATAAACAATCGTTAAATAATCTAGAACGAAATTCAGACTGAAGGCTCATTTGAACGCGCAGAATTTAACGTTACATGACTACGTTTGCATGACTGGGTCGCGAAGTGATTCTCCGTTTTGATACAACATTCGTGACGTTGAGAGCATAATTGAACGTAATCATTAACTTAACTAATTGCGGCGTCGTTATTAATTAAATTAAAACGTGACATTTATCAGCTTTTATATTTTCTCCACGACCGTGTTTGTTACACACGTATAAATCGTGCGCGAATTTTCGCACGTGAAAGTCTCTCCGAGCGCGCCGGGACTTTATGATAAATGTGTATTACATGTCTCTGAGAGACCGCTGGCGTTGATACTGCGGTAATGACGAAAGTAGCTTCTTGTATTTTCACGTCGCGATAGCGCCGACTTTGCGCCGACGATTAATGAAAGACCGTGTTTAAATGGTTAATGAATTCGACGTAGCGCGGCGAGTTGGACACTTGTGCGCGCTGCGTGTCAGCGTGTGCACAAGCGAGTATCGATTGTCGCGTGACGTCATTCACACAGACCGGCATTCATCTTCAACTTTGGCCTTTCGACGTCCCGGCGTCGATTCACGGCTTGTGTCCACACGTGTCGGCCAAATAATTGTGTTTTTCCGAAACCAATTAAATCGAATTGCCGTGTCCCAAAGCGTCAATGAAATAAAATGAATTATGTAATGACGCGTTCGCCGCCGCAGTTTATCCGTATCAGCTGCGTTATAGATAAATTGTTTATCACTGAATGTTTTATAGCCGTGCACTGTATCTCTGAAAAAGAGGAGAGGAAGAGAGAGAGAGAGAGAGAGAGAGAGAGAGAGAGAGAGAGAGAGAGAGANAGAGAGAGAGAGAGAGAGAGAGAGAGAGAGAGAGAGAGAGAGAGAGAGAAAGAAAGAAAGAAAGAAAAAGAGAGTCCGACTTTGGGAAACATTAATTATGTACTCATCGCGCGAAGTTTCTCTAAACTTAATTACATTCTCCGTTTACGGTAACAAAAGAAAAACATGTAGCGAATAATGGTCTAACGATTAATTAATATAATGCGTTAAAAATTGACGTGTCACGCCAAAAAAAGGAAACTAAAAACACAAAAATATTCCTATGGAAAAAACATCTCGCGCGCTTTATTCATTATACGATACTCCGTAAGTTCGACGAGAGTCAGATGCAGTGTTTCTCGCGAGAGAGAAACCTGTCTCTTTCTAACTCGACTGAATGCTGAGCACATAAAAGTGCTCTTAGAAAGAAAGAGAAAGAGAAAGAGAGAAAGGTAGTTCTATTCCCGGTTTCTTTTCTCTTCCTAACTTCTTACAGCGCTTCGATCAGAACGAGCAGTCTATTCTTTATATATGATCTCTCCTCTCTCTCTCTCTCTCTCTCTCTCTCCCTCTCTCTTCGCGCAACGGACGTGTATGAAACGATCGCAGTGTGCGTGAGAGTACCGAGCGAGGCGCGTTTAACCTACATAAAGTGGAATCGTGATTGGGCGAAGTAAATGGCGAACGATCTTTCAGATAATCGATATGCAGTACGTCGCGGGTATCGGCGGCGGCTCTTCTCACGCGGAGAAAGCCGGTTTCGTTCGTTGGTTCGTCGAAAAAAAACAAGAGGACGCTATATTGCGCGACGAGATTTAACGCGGCGAGAACGGTTTCAGAGAGAAAGAGAGAGAGAGAGAGAGAGAGAAAAAAAAACGGTTCAGAGAGAGAGACAATACTCTGAAAGTTTAATTATTTTTTCATTAAGGTTTATGCGGATATTCTCGCGAATCGATACTCGACGCGCGAGTGTTGAAAAATGTGTAACGCGAGGCCGAGGAACAAAGCTGAACGAATGAGAGAGGATTAGACCGACTTAGCGTGACTTATTCGCGCTCTCACGATTATAAACTATTTGAAGTACTTACGACGTCTCAATATTATCCTATCAAGAGCACGATTGATTCTCATGTCGAGTTTTAGTATTCCCGAACGCGGGAAAAGTTTAAAAAATTGCGCAAATATGTGTTCTTCCAACATTTTTTCCTTCTTTTTTTTTTTTTTTTTTTTTTAAATTACGAGAGTCTCTCAAGAGAGTTTACCGCTCCGTCGCGACTATCATCGTATCTTGTGTAACGCGAGGTGAAAAGCGTGTGATCGTAAAAACGGTTTACAAGGCAATATTGAAAATTTTACAAGTGAAGAACGATCGGTTTAGAAGATGAAAAGTTGCACACGTTGCTCTTTTGTTCACAGGGTATTATCAGCCGGCTGGTCCACTGATACAGCACCCTCCGCCACCGCCGCCGACTCTACCGCCTGTGAAGGGTCCACCTCCAGAACCGACACCCACGCCTCCGCAAAATTCCGAGGGTTCGGACGATTTGGTCGCCACTTCCACCACTTCTGGGGGCACAAGCAGTACGGGTGAGTTGTCGCCTAAATAAGTCGTCACGGGGAAAGCGACGAGTGCGTTTGTGTCGCGAATTTATCTCGGATCGTCGGTTTGGCTGTTATATTCGTTGACGCGTACGCCATAAAAGAGAGCACTCCGCTGGTGCTGTATGTATCACGATAAAAAAAAAAAGTAATACAGTAACCGCGTGTTTCTCGGTCGACGCAAGAACGGCGCAACGCACACACATCGGTTGCTCCCGGATAGATTAAATCACGAGGGGCGTAATTTTTCCGCGCTTTTGTTTATGTAAATACACTATATGATGTACATAACGTTGATGGGGCGCGCGATATCGTGGATATTAGCGTATAATAAGCGACTTCTGAATCGTGATGCGGCGCGGCGCACATTGGCGTGAGCGCGAGGGAACTTAATAGCGCGAGCACTCACGAGTTAATTGGATGGAGATAGCGTCCTCTTCTCAATAACATATAGCGCCACACCGCTACCTCAATCGAGCGTTGCGTCGAGATCTCAAGTCTACGGAGGGGGCGGCGGTAGAGGCGGCGGCACGTCCGTACACAAAGATTGTCCTCAAATATCGCGTTGCTGATAGGTGACACTATCAACGTCGGACGTGTACGTCGGTTAGAAATAGTTATTACTCCGGGGCACACGGAAGGAAAGGCAAGGAGATAAAGGCAATCTGCTATTTTCGGCCGAGAGAAATGGAGCGTTTCTCTATTCCACGACTGTTAAATAAGCGTCTTGCTTTTCTCTCAGAGCTCGATTCATTATTCAATTAAATGTCAAAGAGGTCAATGCAAATAAATTAGTCAAAATAAACGAGCGAATTAGAACAATAAATTTGTTTCCACCACGAGCCAAGCAACCGTCGCTCAATTTGCTTTAGCGTTGATGAGAATAAGTTTCAGTTCTTGTGTTCCGTTCGAATGTTACACAAACACGCGCGCGAAACAATACGACGCCAAATTATATTCGCCAATTTTGTTTGCTTTGTGTTTCTGCGAGATCAATCTTTTGAGATAAAGCTCACGGTCTCGCGCTCATCTTTAGTTAAAGAAACTCGGACTTTTCGTTGTCAAAAAAGTTGTGAAAAGAAAAAAACCCCTCCCCCCGAGAGATCCCTCATCTTAATTATCAGAGAAATATTGAGAGAGCTCGTTCTCTCGTCGCGAATCGCAATCGATCATCGGATTTATGGAACAAACACAAGGATGAGTAGGGGAACGATCGTTTGTTACAGGTGGAGGCTTTTATAGGACATATTGCCCGCAGTACTACAGCACGCCGCCGCAGTATTCGGATCTGTGTTATCCGCCGACGTATTCTCATCCTCACGCTCATCCGCCGCATTACTACAAATACGCGCCCACCTACAGAAGGTAAGCGATTTACTCACGTTCGACGCCTCGCACGACGACGCGAGTAAAGACGCGCGAGAGATTGTACTTTGGAGCGATATGTGCAACACAGTGCGCGGCTGTGTGTGTGTGCGCACTGTGGTTGGGTTCCGTAACATTACTCGGAATTTGTTAAATAGAGGTAGACGCGTTATAACGTGAAAATATTAATTTTTATAATGCATAATGTATTACTAATGTACTGTTACGTTACGAGAGCCGTGAAAAGTGGCGGTAAAACTGTTGTAAACTGTTCTCGAACATTGTTACATTACATTGTTTTATACGAGACAATTAACATTTTTATTATTTTTTTTAAATAAAATCGCAGAATTCATGATGGATTATAACATGGTTCATACAATTGTTATTGAAAAATTGCGCACAGTAATGAATTAAGCTTGTTTGTGTCTTGTGTTAAAAATCATCGTTGATAATTTGTTTCACACAAAAGTTGTTTTGCATACGCGATTAATTACTCACAGTTTTAGATTAGATTTAATGAAAAAAAAAAAAAAAAAAAAAAAAAAAAAAAAAAAAAACATCGAGGATGTTGCTAAAGAAATACACAGAAAATCGCTTAGTTTCAATCTATGATCTCTGATAGATTTCAGTAATTCTGGTAACAAAAATATGTCAGTTTGCAATAAAAAGCAAATCCTGTCGCGTTGTAATAAATTTAGGTCACAGATGGTGCTAACTTTTCGAAATCGCCGTATTCTTGTTTTTCACGAAGAAGTGAAAGCTGCAACTAGAGCGTGGCAAAGTTTAGTTTTTTGTTGCAGAGCTGTGAAAATTTTGAATGGGCAATTTTTAACGTTAACGCGATAAATTTTTCTGACCATTCGCGGTGGTCGCAAAATGTATTTTTTTTTTTTTTTTTTTACGTTTTGATAACTAGACCGCGTAAGTTACAAAACTTCCGGAATAATGTAAAATTATATAATATTATAATCGCGTATAATATAAATACATATTATAAAATTATAATATTAAATAACATAATAATATTAAGTAATATAAATATTGTATAAAATATATTTCCAGCTTTATGTGATACCGAAATTAGTTAAAATTCGTACAAAAATCCAATTCTTTCAATTTCGATGATATTTCCATTACAACGCGCCCGGATGTTTTTAAGAAAAACTTCACTCTAAATTGATCAAAGAATTCTCATCGATCAAGAGAATTTATGCGGGCGACCTGAATAATTTTTTTGCCCGTAGATTTAGATTCTCTCCACAGAGGAGAGATTGCGAACGTAGTTATATCCGGGGAAAGGGGGGCGGAAGTAAAACATGTCCTACGTCAGACATCACCCCTCGTCTTTTACACATAATAAGAACGAGTGTCGATAAGAGCGAACGGATGTCCGTCACGCGGGTGTTCTCATTCGCTTTTCGATTTGTCAGCGCATTCTGTAAGGAGGGTATCTTTTCAGGCAATACTATGCCTATCAGGAGACCGGTGGGGGAGGCGGACCACCGCCGGGCAGCGGGGCCGCCGGAGGTGGTCCTGGAGTCGTTGATTACCAACCACCTCCGCCACCGCCCGGCGAATATCCGCTGCCACCCTATTACGGGGGATACCCGCCCCATCCACCACCACCTCCGAATCCGGCATATCTGCATTCTCAGGGAAGACCTTTCGTAGACCGTGAGTATCATTGTTTCCTGAAAAATTTATGCCTCTCTGTACCCATGTACAACGCTAGGTTTGTAAAGCAATACAAAAATTTTATTTTAATTTTTCTTTAATCTATTTTACGTTTGGAAGTTAATTTAAGAAGAAAAATGCTTGTTTACAAACAAGTTTTTATAATAATATTAATTCTCGTACAAATTGTCGTACTGTATTACTGATGAAATCTTATTTTTCTCCGATTAAAAGAGTCACGTCGATTTGCCTCGCAACTTAGTCACGCGTTAAACTTGCCGCTATCGTGTATTCGTTGATAATCTAATCGAACGTTACGAAAGTTAGTTCCAAGTAGAACCACCCAATCTAACCTAACCTAACCATATATACCTGACAACCTGAAAAAAATTCTGACGAATTTATTTCTATCTCAGCCTTTCAGTGCCCATGCCCGATGCAGTCCTGTCCAAAAAACGTGGATACTGGAGCCCTTATTGGTAATGGTAAGGGAGCGCCAGTGGTATCGGGGCCCGGTCTGTCATTGCCACCCAGTGCTTTGGTAGGTCCGCCCTCGCCGGCGAGGGGGCTAGCCGGGCTAGCACCCCCTCACGGTGCCAACGCCTGGGATACGGATCGCGTCCAAATCAACACTCATCGCAACCTCAATCAGAACCAACAACCCCCTTCGGTCCCGCCGTCGCATAATCTCGTCGGTGGTCATAGTCGCCTTCAAAATCAAGACTGCAGAAGTAAGGTATGTAAAAATTCTCTTCTTTACGCCTGTGAGCACGACCGTCTATTGTGATCTTTCGATTTTGTGACAAAACGAAAAGTTTCGTTGACCGTTACGCACTACCGTTTACACGGTTATGTTAGAAGTTCAATTTGATGGCGATATCACATTAGCAAATATCTAGTAAAAGGAAAGACACGCGACAAAGAGTAACAAATAGATACTTCAGCTCCTCTAAAACTTGATCTTCCAATTAAGATCTTTCTCGTAACAGTTTTGGCAGAGAAAAAAGAAAGAATGGCGTTATCTCGAAAATGGTTGCGAGCAGCGTCGTCGTATTATGCATGTATGGATTTTCAGATTTCACACTCTCTACAGCGCGATTCTGTCAGCCTGATAAGATTAAAGTTGCAAACTGCGTTGTAAATTAATTGGATAACTCGGTTAACGAATAGAATTGCCTTATTTTTTATTTGTGTCGAGATTATAATGAACAAAATCTAGAGTCAACAAATTGAATCGGGAAGCGATCGAGCCGCGAACTCTTTTCTCACGAGACTCTCTGAATTAATTGTGTGATTATGAAAAGAAGAGTTTGCGTGTAACCCGGCGAATTTCCTTTTTGTCATCTATCGCAGGATGAGCAAAATTGTACGGAGGACACTCTGAGAAAATGTGGTTGCCAGAACGCGTGCACGTCTACCTGTGAGGTGAAGATGGAAACACTGTCGCCTACTGAGAAATTATCGGTGGCCGCGAGTTGTCCCAGCAACAAGTATCACAACTTCAAGCTGGAGAACAACAACGTGAAATGCGAATCTTGCACCATGGACATTGCCGACGGGCTGCCGTGCGCTGCCAATTGCAACGTCGTCAAGTGCGAGTCGGATTACAAGTGCGACATCATGAAGTGCGAGCAGTGCATGAAGGAAGGCCAGATAGCGATAATGGAAATGGATAAGGATTCCGGTATTGTATTGGACGACAAGCTCGACGGCGATCCCGATGTCAAGGAAGAACTGGACGTGGTGGTGATCGACAGCGATGAGAACTGGAAGAAGCCCGATTACGAGCCGACCGTGCAAGAGACCGTCGACGACAAGGAGGAGGAAGAGACGGAGAAGGAGCAGAAGGAAGTAACGCCGGAGAAACCGGTCGCAGCCGAGCTTGAGCCTGAAGCTGAGACCGAGGAACAGCCCAAGTGCCAAAAGGTGACGAAGAGAAAGCTCTCGCTGGATAGTTTGTCAGACAGCAGGAAGAAGAGGAAACTGAGCAAGAGAGCTCTGTCAGTCGGTTCGTCCCAAGATGCGAACAGCGAGCAACCGACGACCGTCATCGCGCCGATCGAGCCGCTGTCGAGTAAACCTGATAGCATCAGAATCGAGACGAGTGTCCCGAAGAAGAAGCAGGCGAAGAAGGATACGGGACATCGAGGCCAAAAACGTAAAGCGGAAACGCCGAGCGCTAACGAGAGCGCGATGAAGAAAGCAAAGAGCGGCAAGCAAAACGCGAGCAACAGCATTGGCAATTTCTTGAAGCGGACAGCCAGCGATATCTCGATAATGGAAACTATCGACGATGTGATACAGCAGAGCCTGCAGATGACGCAGAAGAAGGATCGCAAGGGCAAGAACTGCGAGCGTATGGAGAAGAAAAAGAAGAAAAAAGAAGAATCGCCGACGATGACGAAGAAAGTCGTGAAAAAGGTCGATCAAACGAAGGAACATGTTGCCAATGAGAAGATGATGAAAACGATTATGAAGAACAGTCAGTTCAAAGGAAGTAAGATGGACGCGAAGTCGAAATCCAAGATTCCGCAGGATTGTAAAGCTAAAGGCAAGAGCAAGATCGGTAAGATCACAGAGATAAAGGCTCACGATACAAAATCCAGGGTGCAGGATCCTAAAATAAGAGATAGCTCGAAGAAGCGCGACACCGCATCCAAGACCAAAGCGAGCGATGTCAACGAGGATCCGAAGAAGTCGGCCGTAATTAAGAAGAAGCGAAAGAGCGCGAAAAAGACGACGCACGTCAAGAAGTCGGGCTGCAAAGTAGAGAATTCCTCAGTCGGAAATGAGAGCCCGACGTTAACGAGAAAAACGTTCCTGAAGCCGAAGTGGAACAATGGATGGAGTTGGGAAGGGGAACCCTTTGAAGCCAAAGTTTATTTAACGGTGAGAACAATTACATTTTTTCTTTTTTTTTTTCTTTTTTTTTTGAAACATCCATTCTATACGTTTTATCCGGATTTTGATATCACGGTTGAAGAGAAGCAAGAATTCGTATTGTTATCGCATGGCAATAATGTAAGATAAAAGAATTTTTTCTCCAATAACGTTTTATGTGTCGTGTTTTGTATGTATATATTTTTATCGTCGCCCGTACAAATAGAATTAAAGATAATTTTTGTTTGCCTTGTATTTTTTTTTTTATTTTTTTTTTATGATAGTTAAGTGCCGCGTGATGATTTGGTCGACTCTGTTTTAGAGATCGACCGACTTTAACGGATCGGTTCACTCTAGATAGGATCTGATCGATTTTGAAATTTGTTATTTCGTAGAACGAGGAAACAGCCATACGGCGATGTTACGCAAGTATGAGTCACGAGAGCGGCGACGTACTGCGACCTCGGGACTGTGTATTATTGAAGAGTGGTACGCGGAAGGGTGATCTGCCGTACGTAGCGAAAATCGCCGCGCTCTGGGAGAATCCGGACGACGGTAGGATATTATCCCTCTTCGATATTGCGGAAGTATATAGTTTTGTGCATTCGATCGAGTTAATATTACGCTGTTCTGTCTCCGTTAGGTGAGATGATGTTTTCGTTACTGTGGTACTACAGACCCGAACACACAGAGCAAGGCCGAACGCCGCACGACAGCGAGGACGAGGTATTTGCTTCGCGTCATCGGGACGCAAACAGCGTGGCTTGCATAGAGGACAAATGTTATATCCTAACATTTAATGAGTATTGCCGGTGAGTAAGCAGTGAGTGACCACAGTTTCAATCACTAATCGGATATTATTGTTATTATAAATAAGTTTTCACACACACACATAAAAACGAGATTTTTTTATGATTTTTGTTTATGAAATTTTCAAACATCTGTAGAGAACATAAAACTTGGGAATCAGTTCGTTAATTTTCGTTGCGAAATAATCTACACAAAACAAGTTTGCCAATAATAATAATAATAATAATAATAATTCAAAACTGAAGTTTTCTCTACAAAACACACAAAAACTTTGCTGTTTTAATCTCGGCTTTATTATATTCCGTTATTGTTTTTATTTATGTAACAGGTATCGTAAAAATTTGCGAAGGATCGAGGAAGGCTTAGAAAATCCTGGCTTGATAGTTCCGCCAGGGGACCAAATGTATCCAAGGGAGAATCGGCAACCTCCTATACCAGTACCATCAGACATGGTGCTTTTCTGCCGACGTGTTTACGACTATCGCGGGAAGAAACTTGTGAAGAATCCCGGATGACTCGAATTCTTGTAAGATGTACACCGAGGAAGCTTTAGGTCATACTGAGAACACTTTGAAACTGGGCGCGGGTTTTCTTCCAAGCGTAATTGCGTCGCTGTTGATCGATTTGTCTTGATTTCGAGGGGGCGATGAGATCCGATTGTTTTTGCAGTGATTTTTCGCGAGGAACTGCTTCTACTTTTTACACAATTTTCGCTACTCGCGTTTTATCTATTTGCTGGAAAAAAAAAACAAAACAAAACATACGATTCTATCCAAAATAATTACGAAAGTAGAATAAGTGGACGACAAGTGTAAGACAAGAACAATCGGATTTCCTTTTATCGTTAAATGTTGTAGGAATACATGTTGGTATGCTCGTTAAGAAAGACTTGTAGGTAAAAACGACGGCACATCTCGTTGGTGCGTATCGTAAAGCTACCCCTATCGTCGCTTATAATTAATCCGTCTTTCTACCCCGCTCGTCTGCGATATCATAGAAATCATGATGAATCGTTCATTAATTCTGGTGATAGACGTTGCGTCAAATTCATGTTGGCAGAACGAGGGCGAGGAAGTAGCGCGCCGAGTATATTCATAACCGAAACATATAGATCAATTTACACGTTTACGGATGATATTTTTCCACGGATGGCATTATCCGCAGATGTTCCTCTTCGCGGAATTGGCTGCGAGAATCTTCGATCGCGCTCCTCGCTTTCCGCCGACACGAACGGAGCACCCAACGTGTCTCCATATGTGTATAAGCTGTTTCTAGACGAGTTATAGTGAAATTTGACAATTTTATAGAGAGAATCATATTTTTTGTGAGATAGCATTTTACACAACACTTAAATGGATATTTTTCACATAGGAGATACAAATGCGCGACGTGTTGTCTCGCGTTAACGGCGCCTTAACTCGCGAAGGAAACCCGCGAACAGTTTCAAAGATAAGGAATCAAAAGCAGGGACGAAATTGCGATTATTTAGTGTGAACAGCGATATATTGTAATAAGTGTTCTATCGAACTTCAATAGGGCCCGGGCGCCCGATGCGAGGGGCGAACATCAACACATCAAGCGTGTGCGACATTACACTTCCATTAGTCCCGTGGTACGTTTGCTTCTATTTCGGGGATGCGATTCCTCTCCGAGATCCGACCCGCGCACATATGTTATCTTCGTAAACAAAATTATTGTAATGTAAAATGCATTTTTTTTGTGCAAAATAATGCCGAAGACGAGGTGTTTCAGGATCAAAAGTGGCTCGAAGTAGTTAGTTCCTTCCACGAACGCGTTAAAGAGTTGCGCCGCGTCAAGAGAATTCGCGGATTTTTAAATATTCGTTGCTATGTTTTTATTTCACATGACGGTGGTTGGACTCGTCAAGTGTTTGTTTCTCGAAGAATCGTGTGTGTCAAATCAATGATGCGCACTTAAGTTTTCCGGATTTAATCACTGACGTTCAGCAATTACCGAAACGTGTTTTGCGAAGAAGATTCACGGAGCGAGCCACTTTCAACTAACGACATGTCACGTCTTGATGCAGAAATCTTTGTTTGCTCGTTCCTTAACACAATAACGACTCCTTCCAAACGTGAATTCAGGTGACACGCACAGACACTTCATCACCAGGAACGTTTGTGTTCTCACCTGTCACGCACCGTGAGTCGCTTTTAGCTTGTCGCGTTGTAGCTTGAATTTCCAAATGATTATGCTATTTACTTTGATCTATATGAGATCCGCCTGATTTTTTCGAGATCTATAACAAAATGAGGAACTAGTAGTTACGTATTTACCGCTTATAACTTTATAGTGGATATAATTTTTATTCGCGTAAAAAAAAAATTTGCATATTTAGTGATTAGCGTCAGTACTCGCGGTAGAATATGCCAAAAACAACCAAAACACGATCGCGAATCTATTAAAAAGCTTGATTTTTTTTTTTTATACGCATTAATATTGTCGAAGCAGAATTTATCATGTGAATATTGATGAAATAATTACAGCGGTACTTCGTTAATTGAACCGAAATCTATCGTTTCTATCAGTTAATAGAACTGTATCCTCACTACAGCAAAAAGAAAAGAGTCTGCCGTAAAAGCTGACAGATTTCCGACCGACTCTTTTTTTTCTTTTTTTTTTTTTGTTCTTCATAGCGCTCAATCCTTTTTCTTTGTTCTTCATTCTCTTCTAGCGTTAGTATTTTACTTTCCCGAACGGCTGAGATAATTTATTTAGACTTTTGATAATAAAAACTCTTAGCTCTGCCACTTCCGTTAATTGAGCGTCTCCGGGAGTTTTTAATTAACGGAGTACTACTGTGCTTTTGTAATGTGTAAAATTCCTCGAATCATGTTGAGATTTTGATTATATACATTTGTTGAGTCTAGCGACGGGCGATATTTGTTGGAAATTTAATATTATTTAAAATTAATATATTGCGAGAAGATATCATTATTTAATATCTAATATATATTGGACGTATAGATATTAAGTTAATTTTGTGAAAGATTAGTCAAGGAGAATAGATAAGTAGAAAAGAGCGCGCGAGAGTGTTTATGGCTGTATACATATGTGTGCGTGCGAGGGAAGGAAAAAAAAGAGAAAAGAGAATTTATAATGAGAAAACTGTCACAAACGGACGAGAACGTGATAAAAAGGAAGAGAGAAAAGCAAAGAGAGACACAGAGAAAGAGATTTTTTTTTTTTCGTTTGCGAGAAATTTTTACGATACCAAAACATTCTGTAACGTGCAAAACGTCTTTTTTTGTTACGATTCGATGTGCGTTTCATGATAAACAACAATATCGGGATGACACTCGATGAAAGATGTGCTCGATGTATTTATAAAAATAAGGAATCGACTTAGTCTTACGTAAACACACCGTATATTAGAGAACGCGTGGGTTTCAACGGACGCCGATTGCAATTTGAAGTACCGAAGCGAAAACCTCACGCCGAGATCCTCACGCGGCGCACTTCCACTTTCTTCTGTGTTCACCGGAACCGAGAGACAGGCAAACTTGTCTAATGCAAAAATTCCAAAGAATATAAATCGACCCGCCAGCCCCCGCGGGGAGTGCGATTTGCGGCGCTCGTCAGTAATCCATCGGGTTCTTGCGTAATCTTTTTATAGATAGTTTTATATTCGTTTTTAATGCGCGAAAGAGATAAGAGAAAGAGGTACGAAGTCGCAGAAAAATAGTTTTTCTATAGAGAAAGAGAAAGAAAGAGAGAGAAAGAGAATGGTACGCCAGAAACCGGGAAAGGACAGTGTGATACACAACAGATGAAACAACAAAATCATCTGCCGGAGAAATCTAAAAAAAAAAAAACAAAAAAACAAAAAAAAAACAAAAAACAAAAAAAAAGAAAGAGATTGAGAGAAAGATGTTACACACGTGCGCGACTATGTCGTGTCGCCGAAGCAAGGTATTCGTGGAGATCATCGAAACGGTACAAGCGGACCGCGCGCGCTCGTGTAAATATTGCGTAACTCGCGTACGTGTAATACGTAAAAAGAAAAAGACGAGTAAAAGAAAATAGTGTGGCTCCGCCGAGCCGCGCGCGCGCGCGCGCGCGCGTGCGAGTGTAATTTTCAGGACCTTACCTACCTAACGACGGTTAACATGGGAACATTGCACACAATGCATATCCTCTGTTCATTTTACGTAGCAGACGAAGAATCTTTTTCATCGCGAGCGAGAAAGCAGTGAGCCCCCTTTTAATCGTTCGTAAGGGCTCGCGAGGTATGTGTGCGAGGTGTCCAATCCGCCTTCATTCCCCGCTCGCCCGGCTCCCTCTTTGCAATCCGCTTTAATCAAAATGCAACAAGTGTCGACCGTGCGCGCTCGAGATCGGACGCTCGTCGTCAGTCGCGTCGTCGAAATCGGTCACTCGAGACACCGGGCCGATTAGGAGCGTGGTGGTCGCGAAATGGTTTTTGACTCATATTGAGTATTTTCGCCCGGTTGTATTCATCATGTTAATCATTTTAATAACTTATAAGAGATGTAAAGGGATCATGTGTGTATTTATATATAACGAGACAAAGAACATGTACATGAGTAACTTCTAATTCATTAATGTAACATGGAAGAGAGAGAGAGTAAGAGAGAGAGAGAGAGAGAGAGAGACAAAGAGTAAATATTAGATATACATATATATTTTTTATTACTTTGTTGCTCACTCGTGTCATTGAGATGTATCAATTTCTATCAGAGTATATGCTTTTTGTTTTTATTTGAAAAAGAACGAATGGGAAGATAGGTAAAACTCTGAGCTAAGTTAGGAAACTAGTCCAGACAACATCTGGAATAGCACATCATGAATAATTAGATTTGTTCTTTGTTCCCGCACTGAGTCTGCACTAATTGTTTTTTTTTCTCTTTATTTCCAAGACAATTGTACATGACTTACTTCTTTTTTAAGACTGTGTGACATAGTTCAGGAACGAAGAACAAAGAAAAATTGTGAGATGTTTTATGGATTTTTGTATCGGACGAAAGAATTTTATTATGAATTTTTTTTCAATCTTATATATATATATATATATATATATATATATATATATGAATTACGTGTGTATTTAGTGAACTAGCCACAACGAATGGAAATAGTAAAAAAAAAATAAAAAAGAAAAAACAAAAAAAAACAGCGAAAGATACTGACAAAATCTGAATAACGCGAAAGACTTTTTTTTTTTTTTTTAAGCAAATTAGCTGCGTGTGAGCACAGTTGTGTTGAGAAAAATTGTTGAGAGATGGACTATGGCGTGAAGACCGCAATCGTCGCCCGATCTCGAGAACGCGATCGCTGTTTACGAACGATCAAAACCGATGAACCTTCATTGCGCGACGGCATTACGACGATTTGTCGTGCAAATACTCGATTTCTTCAGGTTGATTTGTCGGAACAGAAGAGCCGTGAGACGCGCGATTTTGTATTCGTAGGCGGTGCCTCGTTCTCGTAGCTGCGAGACTCGTACATGACCTCTTTATACACATACACACATATTTAATTGTAATTTAATTTTTTCTTATTTACATAATTATATTTAATCATGCTGTATGCATATTTTCTGAATGCCTTTATCTGAACACGTACGAAATTTCAATCATTGGCATAATTGTACGATTGAAGATCAATTATTTTGCAGATTTATATAAAACAATTTAGGATCTAAATTTTGAACCTAAATAGATAGGTGCTACTTTTGTTCGCGCATTTGCGTCCTGAATGATTTTTT